CGTTGAGCTCATCCAACGCGTCTAAATGGGTCCGTATGCAGAGTTCCTTCTGTGGGGATTTGCCCAGGCGCGAAGTACTGCAAAACAGCGAGGAGATGACCGTCGGCAAGGCACGGGCAGCCGCTATGGATACGAGCCCCTCCTATGTGAGTGTTTCTGGTGGAATGGATACGAGCCTCTCCCAAATTGTGAGTGTTCCAGCCACTATGGATACGAGCCTCTCCTATGTGAGTGTTTCTGGTGGAATGGATACGAGCCTCTCCTCTGTTAGTGTTCCAAAGACGGTACTTCCGGTCCGGTATAAGGGCTGCTGTTACTTTGCAGAAAGCCCTATTTGGAAATGAATAATTGAACATATAGTTGCGAAATACGAGCTTTTTTCCTTGAATTCGCAGCCTGTTTTATATTTACTCAATAACCGAGTGCTAAAAATACGGAAAAATATACATTGCCTTCCGAGCGCATCGGAATTTTATTTCATTACTAGATTTTAGTGCCCATACGACATGCGTGCATGCATATTTCCTTGTACAAAGGATGTTGTATACCCCCGTTGTGTGGCGTGTTCCCAGAATACCTACATCTCGACAGGCGGATGTGCCTTTTATTGAGGTTCGTTGAATTCTTTCATTGAGTTAGAGCTAACACAGTTTTAACAGGCACATCTATCTTTAGTCCCCAGGCTGCTTCGCATAGACGATTGATTGGTCGCCCATTTAGCAGCTTGTTCGCCAGTTTCAAAGTTGTTACGTTTCGTTATACCATGGTTATACCCTTTCAACAACAAAAATGCCTATCAGTGTTTTTTTTTTTCTATTTGCATTAATCGCAAAGTGTCAACTAATAAATTAATAGACCACGCACTAAAGAAAAACATATAACAAATCTATCATTTCTAGAATGAGCTAATATTGTTGTCGCATGAAGCCGAGACACAATTACGTGAGGTGTGGGTGTAGCTGAGTGCAAGGCGATATGTATAGTTGTGTAGGTGAGACGCGGCGGGTCGCGTTGAACCATCGAGTGACGTCTCTGTTACCGGCGCGCGGAGGCCGCTCGATAAATGCTCACACTCGGCAAATACGATTGACATGTTGCCTCGACCGATTGGCAGAGCGCCGCACCGCTCGCACGGAATTCAGTAATAGTGTGGCTCCTCGTGCATCACGTGCTTCGGTGCTGAAGTTCTTGAGATAGTTTTGCCTTATTCAATTTACCGATGCATGAGTTTTACTGTCTGTCTTGTTTCGGTAGAAATAATAATTTATTTCTTAGTTTCTTCTCACGCCCTCGAACGACCATAAAGGTATGGACGACACTGACAGCGGGAATCGCTATGCCTCGAAGAAATCTGGAATTAATTGGCACTGCCTTACATGCTAGACATACATCCTATTAAACTTGACTTATGATTACGTTTAACCATAAGAAACCCAATAGTACTCGAACTCAAGCAACTAAAGTGAACAAAGTAAAACGTGATTAAATGTTGACGGAGTAAACGTTTTCTTCCAGTGCCGGTGCTCTCACGTTTCCCTCCGTGATCCGTGATGATGTCTCTCTATCTCGCTTCTGTCCCGTCCTCTCCTGTTTCTGCCCTTTCTAGTCGTGGCATCATTCCACAAATGTTTGTGGCCATCCTTCGGAACAACAATTTCATTCCTCGTTCCTGTATGTCTCAGCATTTACATGAGACGTTGTGGCGCTGCGTTTCCTTGTCCAACGCATGTTCCCTGTGGGACTCTGATGTCCCCCAAGATCTCCCATGTCTCGATGGGACTCAAACGCCTGAGACTCCATTGCCTCAGCTGAGGCCTAAGTTCCCCTTAAGGACTCCGTGTTGACACTCTGGCACCCCATATTCCATATGCTCGCCCTGACCTGCCTTTACCCCTCGTCTCTTCCTTGTGGATTGTAGAACTCTGCCCACCGACCGCTGCGCTAAATCGACTCGACCCCCGGCGCAGTCGTGCGGGCCGCGCTGGTGGCAGCGCCGGAGAGCGGCGGCTCGACCTCTCCCAGTCGACCGCCGTGCTCGGGCACGGCCGGAGCACGGCTCGGGAACGGCCGGAGCACGGCCACTGGGAGCGGGGGTGGCTGCGGGGACCGGAGGCCGATCAGAGGGACCGGAGGGCGGCTGGAGCGACCGATGTACACAGGGAAGCTGAACCATCGGTAAATCATCGGCGACCGGCGTCAGCTAAACCACGATCAGAGGAAGGTCGAAATACGGCACGGGAACCTTGAGAACACAGCAAGAAAACGGTCAGAACACGGCAAGAGAACGGCCAGAACATAACAAGAACGGTCTGAGTACGGACACAGGACGGCTTGGTGCTACCTCAGAACTTTAAAAAGAGAGCTACATTGGAACTACGCATAAAATTTAGGAATGAAGAGCTCGTTTTTTGGAACAGCTTAGTGCTGCGGGGAACGGACTTGTGCCTAACAGCTGATACGGTTGAAAATTTGATCTAGAGGACTACACAGTCCCACAAGGTACAGCTCGGTTCGCAAAAGTCGCAGAGAAGCAGGCACTGGTTGTGCTCCCAACGAAATGATGACCTATTGGCCGGTGATTGGTGCGTGGAGTGGTGAGGTGATACTGCGGTAATTGGGTGATCGAGGCGGCCACTGACCCCGTGATTGAACAGTGCCTGTGACGGGTCACAGTGACAATGGAGCCTCAGCACGCCCCAGCCGCGGCTGTGGCCGGTGCTCCTACCAGGCCTCAGCGACCAGCCCAGCCCCCTACACAGCCCCCAGCCCAGCCCGCAGCCCAGGCCCCGGACCAACCCCCAGCCCCAGCCCGGAAGGCCAGCCGGCCGCCCCTGGACTATGACCAAGTGCCGTACTCACGAAAACCTCACGAAGTTAGTGTGTTTATCGTGCCAGGTGAGCAGAGGACGAGGGACAACGTGATGGCTGATTTTTTAAAATATTGTTTGTAATTTGATTACATTCATCATGCAGTTTTATTTATTGTAAAAACATTGCATTACTCTCCCTGTCGTATCGTTTTTGCATTTCCCTGAATCAGCTACCTATATCATTTTGCTCGCATCTGGTTACTTACGCAATTCAGAGTTGATAGTTGATCTAAACACACGGATTTGAATATACACTAGGGGACTTTGATAGATATTTGCTCACCTTGGAGATATTATAAAAACTAGTATAAAATGTAGTGTATAAAAGAAGAAATAGTTCCTTCGTGTCTGATTTTGAACAAAAAAAAATCCTTCAATGGTATTTTACCAAGATGGTCTGTCATATAACCTATCTAGAGCATAGGCGGCGGAACGGGGAGGGCACCGGGGCACCGTGCCCCCCTTTGATTTTGGCATTTTAACATTAGCGCTAGGGGCGTTGCATGGAAAGAATGGGATTAAAAGTCGGCAGTGCCCCCCCCTTAATTGAAGGTGTTCCGCCGCTACTGATCTAGAGTAAGCTCGACCTGACAATTTTTGTTACAGCTTCATTGACTTTCTGGCGCACACTGCACCCAAGTGCGAGACAGAATGTGTAGTCGGATTTCATTCAATCGCTCTGCGTATGACATGGAGAAAGTGCGCTATCATCGCTCAGCTGATCTTGACGGTAGTTTCCCTGCTCTCCGATCCTTGAACTCGGGAGGTGGGATATAGGACGTCCGCCGTTCAGCCTTGAACTGCGTGAGACGCCCGGGAGAGAGCGGGTCGGGTCGGCGTCTATTTATAGCTCGCCGCCGGCCAGGTAGACAAAAACGGGAGTCGGCTGGAACCTCGGCGACACAGGTGCTCCATTCCTGTTTGGTAGCCATGAGGCGAGCGCGACCCTCGCCTCGCCCAGGGAGCGAACGCACGAAGGCGAGCCACTCAGTACTCAGTGTTTGTGTGTGTGTGAGGAGGTGTGAATGGCGGCCGCTGGTCGGTACCAATCACAGGAAGATGCGGTTGATTGGATTTGTACTTGTAAGTTGCATATGGTGCATGATTAACTTTAATATTTTAGGCATTCAGTCAGCAAATTTTATGAACTTACGACAGCAACTATGTAATTTTGTGATATTAATCTTGTAATTTGGTGATGATTTTATGAACTTACGATAGCAACAGTGCTGCAGTGCAATTTGGTTTTTGGTAATTTTGACACTTTGCTGTAATCGATTTCTCTGAGATTGAAAAAATCTAAATAACAAGCAAAACGTAGTGTAATAAGGTGTATAGGCATGCTCTGAAAGAAAGATTGTAGACAATTTATAGGAAATTTAAACATAAAATGTGTTACATGAACACGCTATGCTCTCGAAAACATGAACACTCTTTAGGCATTTCTTTCATATCGCCTCTTGTTTCTTACATTTCTAGCTTATCTCGTTCTAGATCTACGAATTTCTTTGCCAAGGAATACAGATACGGCTCGTATAGACGCTACGTGCAGACTGCAGTGCCCACTGGTCACTGGCGTCGTGGACTATAATATTGACAGGTTGAATTTAGCTTTTCAATAGCTTTCAAAACTCAGTCTTACTGTTTTCTATATTTTTGTTGGGCAGCGTCAAGGCTGAAGAGCTGTTTGCATTATGCAACTTAAAACCAAATGCCCCATTTCGGTGAACAATCTGGTACCAATAGAAGGAAAAGCCTACGCCACGTTGTCATGCACGATACCTGTAAGTCGTAACGACATAACGACAGATCAGTATATGACTTATGGCCGACATATGACTTCGACATCATATTGTCGCTACCGTCCTATTCAGTGTGAGCACCGGTCGCCCTGATGTTAACCAACACAGCGATGGTTGTTGTCGCTCACCCATATCGTGTGCCTCCCGACCTCTGTTGCCGACGCCGGCCGGTTCTGTCTGGGTACGGTTATGCAACCACCTGTGTTACATGATCATTGGTCACGACTGATGGCTGGCACGGCCATTCTGCTGTCCGCCTGGTGGTCGCGGTGGGCCCCCTGACCCTGACGGGGACGGAGGCTGACCCCTCCCCCTCCTCCGTCCACAGCCGAGAGGAGGGTGCAGTTCTGGTCCATGTTCCTCAAGAACTGGCACGTCACCATCACCTACTGCTTCGTTTTCTGGTCGTTCGGCATGTGCGTGGCCTTCCTCGGACCCACGCTGGGGGATCTCGGTGAGTGGCGAGCGCCGAGCGATGACGGGATGAACGAAGAATAGAAAAAGCTACAAAGCCCGAGTCTGGATGCAAATGATAATAACGCTGGCCATAAACTTCTGTATACGGAGGTCTTCACGAGAGACCTATGCACTGGCGATAGGGAAAAAAACGTCATGTGCAGACCTATGACTTTTTAGACATAAACTATTGATAATGAAATTAGGTGGATAAAACATTTTGGTTATATTTTCAAAAATAACAATCGGTAAACGTTCTTAGAAAATTCATATAAGTAAGTATTCATCAAAAGGTTAGGTAAATCCGGCGGGACAATATTACAACCTCGATGCATCTGACGCGAAATGTTTGCGTTGGCAGGCTGTCAGACGGAGACGCCGTTCGCCACCATGAGCTGGGTGTTCTTCGCTCAGGCTCTGTTCACACTGCTGGGCTCCATTGTGGGCGGCGTACTCGTACAAAGGTGAGTTCACAGCCTGACAAAGGTGAATGCACAGACTGGCAGTCCTTACAGAGCCGGGTAGGGCTCTGTAACGGGCGTTAGCAACACTCGCGTGTGAAAACGGAAACCGGTAACCGTTTTTAGGCGGGCATTCGAGGAAAGCGGGTTTCATAATACTGGTACGTTCATGATGTCACTCGATAAATCTCGTTCCTTGTGACCCGACTCGGCGATAGCTCCCTCGGTTTCTGTGTGTCCTTGTAATCCTGATAATCAGATAAATGTCCAGACCTGATTAATCGTATCATTAAACGTGACATTTTGAGGCGCAGTAGATTTATGTAAAAGTTTGATTACTAATTTATCGATTCTCCCAAATGAACTAAACCAGTTAGGCACCAGATGCTGATCAGCGGATCATGGGCACACCGAAGTCTGCTGGCTCTCGGGTCCGGATGCATACACAATCTCGCAATCCACTGATCCGTCTGGCCCCCGCCCGTTCCCTTTGTGCGAGTCGCACCCCACCGCTGCCCCGTCCATCCCTTCCAGACACCGCAGCCCCGTCCATCCCTTCCAGAGACCGGACACCCCGCCAGGCGGAAGGAAGGCGGGCCCCACACCCCTCCTCCGCCCCTCACACACAGGCCCGATCTTCCCTCTCCCCCCCCCAAACACACACAGGTCCGACCTCCCCTCCCCCCCCCACACACATACACACGTTCGCCAGGCTCGGTCCCTCGGGAGTGCCGGAACGCCCAGGTTCAGAGACCCAACAGCGGGCTGTCTCAGCCGGTCAAAGCCGAGATGACACGCGGGATATGATCAAACAATCTACGCAGTCCTGGCTTTTGTATGATCAAAGTGAAGTCCATAATGCCACACGTTGAGGCTGTAGAATTTGACTGTGTAGTTCCTCTGCATTAGTTGGATGAATACCTAGTTGACTTTTCATGTAATAGGTATATTTGCTTATTGTAATGTATCTTGTATATACATGCTATATCTTGTATAATACATGCTATTTTTATTTTTGTAATGCGCTAACACTCACACATTTGGTTGATGGATGCATAGCATGCTTTTATTGTTGCCCTGACTGTTGCACTGCACCTTCACTTGAATAGAGCGCTAAGCTGCTTAGTGTTTTGTAGCTAGCTTATCGTGCAAACATGTTCGTTGTTTTACGCACCGCCTCGTGCCTCCTGCCACAGCAATGGGCACGTGTGTACGTTATTCGCTACTTACTCTCTCACTGTTTGCTGCCTTACTGACGCTGACCTGACGATCGCGAGCTGCACCCCTCACCCCGCCCCGTGGTCTGTTTAAGAATCATGGACGGCAAGTCCATGCTACCCGGTATGTCCTGTCTGCCGTTCTGTTCCGGCTCCGCCCACTGGAGGTGAGCTGTGACGTCAGCGTCACGTGACCGGCTGCCCGGGCATCGCCTCAGGGCAGGCCGCTGCCTGGGGGCTCCGCGTCGAGGCGACTTTGGGTGGACGGCGCCAATGCACGTGGCGCTGAGAGTGGGGTGCTTGTTTTGGGTTTGTTGGGTCGTCGTCCAGACGAATTTCAGGGAGCTGAGTTGGCGTGTTTTGTGGATAGCTTCTTAGGTCAACGAAACATCCTGGGTTTTAAATTGTGAACATTGGATAATAACACGCAAGCATGCAATCCATCTACATATAGGGCAAGAAAGAGACATAGTTTGCCGAGAGGACCGACTGTGGCTTGCGGATTCTGCTTCCGATGGCAGGAGAAGTCATGCATGGTCTAAATGAGCACTAATGGATTGATTCGATCAACTATAGCATCTGGTCAAAATGCTTGGAGGGTTACTTAACGCATCGTGGGAAAATGAAGATCTGCCAGCTATGAGACGTAAGGGATAAGTTGAACCTATTGCGCGAGTTTTCGACTCCATTCGCTCCAATTGAACCTGCATGACGGACATTACACATAAGCATGGTTGTGTCTGCGAGACCGACCCATCTGGGAGCCAAGAGGTCGATATGGCGATCACATATCAACATCTGCAAGGGTAAACACAAAGTTGGAAACCGAGACGATGCAGCGGTTAGCTTGCAATGGTACCTATGTAAATGCATTACCAGCCCAACAAAGATCCGCTTCCGCATGCTAAACCGGCACCAGTTTTGCCCGTGCATCATGCCATGAGTGTGTGCATTGTGCTTTTTGCAATGTGATTCGTATGCATGCGCCTGATATGCATTGCAGTGCTGTCGAGTTTTGTGTGTGTGCTGTTTTCGTGTCTGACTGTCTGACTGAATTTGAATCTGATGTGCAAGTATCCAAAGTAGGTGCTCGATCTTCTATTTTGTGACAAAATAGGCTCAGCAATGTCTAAATACACCGATACATGCGCACATAATTCGACGTTTGGTTTTGCGCACAACGAAATGCTCATTCCCTTTCGCTTGTCTTTGCTAGTCTCGTTGCCTTGATGTGTAGCTGTGCTTAATTTGAGTTTCTCGGCTGCAGTATCCCCTATTCAGCTTTATCCATTGTTGCGCTCGCCATTATGACATCAACCAGGATCTGCGGATAAATAACTATGGAAACTGATTGTCGGCGCCCAGCTGCTGTTGAGGTATGCGGTGACGAGCCGCTGACGCTTACATGGCAATGCGTCCACTCAGTAACGGGTGGCCGCCTTGGGGCGGTGGTGGCCGTCCCTCTCATGACCGGGCCACTTCGATCCGCGACCCCGCTGCTCGAGAAGACGGGCAGCTCCATTTTTGCCCTGCTAACGTCTCTGTCTAGACTGTAGCCGAAATGTCAAATATTACTCAAAATGGGCCTCAGCGAACTCAGCTTTTAGTAATGTTACCGTACTTGTAATCATATCCATCAAGAGGCCGTGATGCTTTTATTTCTAAGTCGTAACTATGCATTGATCAGTTATATCGGTATTATCTTTGCCTTTAAGGCACTGAAAGGCTGAACATTTGTACCAGTCCCGGTTGCTACCCCTGAGCCTCCACGCGGCCGGTCGTCTGTCCATCTCACGTCTCAAGACGGTGCAGAGGTTCAGACATGCTGTGTCGTTCTCGGTGGACCAGCTGAAGGCTGGGCAGCTGGTGGTCCCGAGAGTGTGAGGGTGGGTGACCAATGACCAACCGTTCACTGGCCAATATCCGACTCCAGACCCTCGGTCAGTTGGGGACTGGGCGGCTGGGGGTACCCTGGGCCAGTTGGAGCGGCTGGAGGCGTCTGGAAGCGGCTGAGGAAGGGGGGAGGACCCTGCGCCGGTTTGAGGCTGGGGACTGCGGAGGCTGGGGGAGGCTGGGAGCGTGGCTGACCGTGCCGCCGCCCCCGTATTGATCCGCCCACTCGCCTCCCGCGGCCCGGGCCCGTCCCGGCCGGAGCGGCTACACTTCCGCCGCTGGTCCGCCCACCCACGCCGCTCCCCGGCCGACGAAAAGCGGCCAAATCCTCCGCCCGTCGGCCGGCCGTCCGCGCCAGGACCACTCAGGGTCACCAGCAGTCCGGGGGATTCGAGCTGCTTGCAGATGCAGCCGCCTGAGCTCGGCGGCGACGGTAGCTGGCTCAGTTACAAAAAGAGAAGCTTCTCCAGGCTTTGTAAATTCATGAGCTGATGGGGTTAAAGGGACTATCCCACCTTTAACATGGGGTTTGAGTTGAGATAGCCAAGTTTGCGGCGAGGTTCAGAAACCACTATCTATCTAGGTTGCAACCCCGCGGCCTCTTGGTGTTGAAGAAATGTGTTCCCTTCATTTGAAAATGGGTCTTGTACAAGGCCCTATCTTCAACATGGAGCGACCGTTAGTGTGACGTCACCTCGTTTAGTCATTCTGATTTAAATGGGTTTGTTCGTTGAAAAATCGCTTAAAACTTGGTCTGAACTTTGTTGTGGTGCCTACAGAGCAAAAAGAATCAGCTTTATGACAGTACAGGGTGTCTCAAAAGTTCGCTTACACATTTCCCATGTCAATAAAGCATATAAGAACCGGCCAAAAATCTAAGGTTTTGGTGTCCGTGTGTACACTAGACAAATATGCATGCTTTGACAACTGATTCGGAAGGTTGGAAACCAAACCCTTTGCTGTATCTCCAAAAATATTTGCCCATACCGATATTCGTCACTCCGTCAGCTGCCGGAGGCTGATAAAAGGTTACCAGCTTTCAAGCTCTTGTAGGGGAATCCCCTGCAGTTTCTGCGTCGGATTTAGGTTTGACGAGCTCCCCGGCAACATCCGCTTCTCCCTGAAAGCCGACAGCTTACATCGACACCATCCGTGAGTATTTTGTAGGTCTTCTCTGGCGCTAACTCCTTCATGAATGACTGGCGCCGACTTCCCAAGCACCATTTTTCTTTTCAAAACAACCCCATTCCTGAACAAATGGGAAGTGCCAGGGGCAAATTTTTCGCAGCATATCGTAGCAGAATGTGTCGGCCATCTGTTTCTTAGACACATTTTGCAAATTTTGCAAATCCCGAACGCTCGTCATTCCCAATGCCAAGACCTTCGCTGGGTTCCGGAGTGTTTTCCTCAGGAGAGGTTCTGCTTTGTAAACGGCCAAAACCTGTCCATCGTGCGGTTTTGTCCGGATTTTGTGTGTAAAAGAAAGCTATTTGCTCCAGATCTGCCTCTTGAAACTTCGTTAGATAAAACTTTACATTAATTGACACTTTTGGAGGGTCACTTGTCCTCGGCATTGACGATTTTCGCATTATTTTCCCTCAAAATTTAGCGTTATAGATATTATAAACAATTTTAAATGATATTTTGTCTTTATTTTATGATGACCTGCAATTTTTGAAACTGGGTAACCTCTGTCTGTGAGCTTCTAGTCAGTTTTCAATAGTTAGGACTGCATTTTCAGCTGCTTTCCGGAGCACGAGTCTGCTGCGGTACAAGGGTCGTTCAAAGCGCTGTTAGTCTCGCATGGTTTTGTCCTTCAAAAATTTTAGCCACCGTTTTTATTAGATGACTAACATGTTGTACTCATCCTCGCCGACACTTTGCCATGTGTCATTTCCGACCTAACCATTCCCATTACTCGTGAAGCAGAGAGTTTCTCAGCCGACCCGAGTATGCGACCTCCATTTTCATGCCTGATCCATAGTCAGAGGTGAACCCTTTTGTGAGCTCATGAAGGGTCGAATGCGCTTGAAAACAATGAAGCTGCTTGAGGAAGGTTGTTACCAATGCCCATGCAAAATTTCGACTGTTAATTTCTTGTTGATTCAGAATTATTGACAAAAAAGCATGGCTGGTACCTGTAAGCGAACTTTTGAGACACCCTGTAATGTGGCCTGGGGAAGGAGGTAATTTTGGGCTGTGACGTCACATATTTGAAAGTTAATGTTTGGAATATGGGAAGCCTAAGATGTTTAATGAAAAATGAATGCCAGAACCGTGTTCCTGGTCATCCAATCTATAAAGTCGGGCACAATTTAACTGGTTTTAACAACATTTTAGAAGGTGGGATAGTCCCTTTAAAACGAGGTCGTGTGGTGGGATCTTGCTGTGGTCCCAGCCGCTGGTGGGGACACGGTGCGCTGCTGTCCGAGTGTCGGATGTATACGTTACGGTTGTCAGCCGAGCAGCTGAGAGAATTGCCATGTCTCCGGATGTCCAGACGCCCGATTTCCGGGGGACGTGCTGGTTATGTCATCTGTCCAACAGCGGAACTGTTTGGAAATGTGTGTGCCGGCCCGGCCGGGCCGCGGCCCTGTCACACCCACAAAGTGTGGCCTCCAGTAACGGGGAAGACGAAAGCCGTTCCTCACCTTCGGACAACACTGCCTGATGCATAAATCGCCATCCCCAAGTGAACGTTTCACCTGGGTTATCTCGTGCCATGTTGTCCGATATGACTCATCGGACCAGCCGCGGCTGCTATCGGCACATATTGGTGCTCTGCTGATCGGCCCGCCGCCCTATCCGGCTGAATAAAACCCGCGAGTGTCTGAATGAACCGGTGAATAGCCGTCCGATATTCGAACGGTGTAAACCTTACATGGAATGCGTATGGACTGTGTATATCTACGGACTGCTGTGGCCTAACTGCGTAACTGAGTTTTGCAATTGCTCATGTGACGTTCCAAGCGCTGTTGACCTTCTGCAGTGGTCTGGTAGCGTCCTGGCGCGGCGGTAATCAGCAGCGTCTATTAGGCAGATGCGGTCTAGCCCGTGCCGCCAGCCGACACCATCAGTGCCCTGTCGGCTTTGATGGAACGGCTCAGAGGGGAGAGGGCCGCGGCGGTCCGAGGAGAGAGGGCCGCAGCGGTCCGAGGGGAGGAGAGAGGTCTATGGTCCATAGAGGGGAGAGGAAGGGGGCTGGTGGTCGCTGAGTGGTCGAAAGAGCAGCGGGTCAGTGGGTCCGCCGCCCGAGCCGCCACGGCCTTTCCTTCACCTCCAGAGTATGATGTTGTCGACTTCTACAGCTCAATTTGTCGACGGCATCCTGCATTAGCTGTTTGAGCCTCTTAGGTCTACGGAGCAAGGTTGTTGAGCATTGAGGCTTCCCATGTCTGAAGCGTGAAGAGTCATATGCGTGAGAATGCCACTTACCCGCTGACTACTCTCTTCTGGTCAGACCACTGACTCACCCATCTGTATCTAAATAGTCGGGACGTCGGCCACTCCCCCAGCCTCTGGTAGATGTCAGCGACTCACCTATGTGCGCTGCGTGATAAGGACGTCAGCTCAGCTGACCCTCCCGTCTGCTCCCACCAGGACGTCAGCAGCTGACCCTACCCTCTGCTCCCACCAGGACGTCGGCAGCTGACCCTACCCTCTGCTCCCACCAGGACGTCCGCAGCTAACCCTCCCGTCTGCTCCCACCAGGACGTCGGCAGCTGACCCTCCCCTCTGCTCCCACCAGGACGTCGGCAGCTAACCCTCCCGTCTGTCCCTGACAGGACGTCGGCAGCTGACCCTACCGTCTGCTCCCACCAGGACGTCGGCAGCTGACCCTACCCTCTGCTCCCACCAGGACGTCGGCAGCTGACCCTACCCTCTGCTCCCACCAGGATGTCGGCAGCTGCTCCCACCAGGACGTCGGCAGCTGACCCTACCCTCTGCTCCCACCAGGACGTCCGCAGCTAACCCTCCCGTCTGCTCCCACCAGGACGTCGGCAGCTGACCCTCCCCTCTGCTCCCACCAGGACGTCGGCAGCTAACCCTCCCGTCTGTCCCTGACAGGACGTCGGCAGCTGACCCTACCGTCTGCTCCCACCAGGACGTCGGCAGCTGACCCTACCCTCTGCTCCCACCAGGACGTCGGCAGCTGACCCTACCGTCTGCTCCCACCAGGACGTCCGCAGCTGACCCTACCCTCTGCTCCCACCAGGACGTCGGCAGCTAACCCTCCCGTGACCCCGTCTGTCCCTGACAGGACGTCGGCAGCTGACCCTACCTTCTGCTCCCGCCAGGACGTCGGCAGCTGACCCTACCCTCTGCTCCCTGGCAGGACGTCGGCAGCTGACCCTACCCTCTGCTCCCTGGCAGGACGTCCGCAGCTAACCCTCCCCTCTACCCCTGCCAGGACGTCGGCAGCTGACCCTACCCTCTGCTCCCACCAGGACGTCGGCAGCTGACCCTACCCTCTGCTCCCACCAGGACGTCGGCAGCTGACCCTACCCTCTGCTCCCACCAGGACGTCGGCAGCTGCTCCCACCAGGACGTCGGCAGCTGACCCTACCCTCTGCTCCCACCAGGACGTCCGCAGCTAACCCTCCCGTCTGCTCCCACCAGGACGTCGGCAGCTGACCCTCCCCTCTGCTCCCACCAGGACGTCGGCAGCTAACCCTCCCGTCTGTCCCTGACAGGACGTCGGCAGCTGACCCTACCGTCTGCTCCCACCAGGACGTCGGCAGCTGACCCTACCCTCTGCTCCCACCAGGACGTCGGCAGCTGACCCTCCCGTCTGCCCCTGGCAGGACGTCCGCAGCTGACCCTACCCTCTGCTCCCGCCAGGACGTCGGCAGCTAACCCTCCCGTCTGTCCCTGACAGGACGTCGGCAGCTGACCCTCCCCTCTGCTCCCACCAGGACGTCGGCAGCTAACCCTCCCGTCTGTCCCTGACAGGACGTCGGCAGCTGACCCTACCTTCTGCTCCCACCAGGACGTCGGCAGCTAACCCTCCCGTCTGTCCCTGACAGGACGTCGGCAGCTGACCCTACCCTCTGCTCCCACCAGGACGTCGGCAGCTGACCCTCCCGTCTGTCCCTGACAGGACGTCGGCAGCTGACCCTACCCTCTGCTCCCACCAGGACGTCGGCAGCTAACCCTCCCGTGACCCCGTCTGTCCCTGACAGGACGTCGGCAGCTGACGCTACCCTCTGCTCCCACCAGGACGTCGGCAGCTGACCCTCCCGTCTGTCCCTGACAGGACGTCGGCAGCTGACCCTCCCCTCTGCTCCCACCAGGACGTCGGCAGCTAACCCTCCCGTCTGTCCCTGACAGGACGTCGGCAGCTGACGCTACCCTCTGCTCCCACCAGGACGTCGGCAGCTGACCCTCCCGTCTGTCCCTGACAGGACGTCGGCAGCTGACCCTCCCCTCTGCTCCCACCAGGACGTCGGCAGCTAACCCTCCCGTCTGTCCCTGACAGGACGTCGGCAGCTGACGCTACCCTCTGCTCCCACCAGGACGTCGGCAGCTGACCCTACCCTCTGCTCCCACCAGGACGTCGGCGCACGGCGCCATGTTGGTGTCACTGCTGATGCTGGCAGTCACGCTGGCCATGGTGCCGCAGTGCTGGAGCCTCTCCATGCTGGCACTGAACCTGGCCGCCATGGGACTCTTCATGGGTATCATCGACACCGTGGCCAATCTCTGCATGATCCAGCTGTATGGCTCCAATGTGGCGCCCTTCCTGCAGGTATGTACGGCTCGAACGTAGCGCCCTTCCTGCAGGTTGGTGTTGGTCGGCTGAGGCCAGGGAGAGGAGGAGAGGATTAGTCAGCCCAGAGTACCTGCTGGTCTGAAGGGGACGGAAAACGATACAGAGGGGCATGGTGCGTCATGCAGAAGGGTCTTGTCGGCCGGGGGTGCTGTCAAGAGGTACTAGTATGAAAAGCGTGGGGGTGGAACTGTTGGTACTCTGTATCCTTTACCCTGCACGGTAAGCTTTTGAGTGTTCATTAATATGCATCTCGAGTACCGCTATGCCCGTGAAGCACAGGCAGTGAGGCGTCATTTACCCGCTTGGTATTCTGGGCTGCTGCAATATCCGACCTACCCCAACAAAGTGTTACTTTACGATGTAATGAATAGAAGAGCGCTCTTACATTCTCGTTTATAAGGTGATGAGTCGGTAGCCGCTAAATTATGTCTCCTGTCATCATTATGCGCCTCAGGGGTCGGGACTCATCGCCAGCCATCATTCACTGGGTGATTGTGGCGATCTGCGGCTCAGGCCGATGGCGGCAGTCTCACGTCATCGGCTCGCCGCCCGAGCTGCTCGGCAGAGCGTCCCATCAGCCCGAGGGACCCCCGAGCCCGAGCCGCCCTAAGCCCCGCTGACGGTCGTGCCTCATTCAGCCGCCGCGCTAAGCCTCCTCTGACTGGCAGCGCTCTGCCCATGCTGGGGCTGCTCGAGTCGAGAATCGTCTCGTCGATGTCTAGTCGATTTCCTTGTAAACTGACTGACCTCGCCTGGTGGTAAGAACTTGAGTTCTCTCTCTCTCTCTCTCTCTCTCTCTCTCTCTCTCTCTCTCTCTCTCTCTCTCTCTCTCTCTCTCTCTCTCTCTCTCTCTCTCTCTCTCTCTCTCTCTCTCTCTCTCTCTCTCTCTCTCTCCCTCTTTCCCTCCCTCTAACGCCCATTAATCTCATCACTCTTCTCTGATCTCTTATCTCCACTCAGTTCTATTTCTCTCTTTCCCATCCGTTCCTCTCCCGGGCCTACATGATCCTCATCCTCCCTTATTCCGACTCCAGACGCGCAGTAGGTACGCTAGTGTAGGTCACACGGACATGAAGTGCCGCAGCCTGCTCAACGCCTGCCGGACGGAAGGGCTGAGTCCGTGAGCCGCGTGTCGCCACTGCGGCGATAGCACGGACGGGACATTAGTGGCGCACTAATCGGCCGCCGCGGCGACTGCGGCGCGTCAGTGACGAGTCGCAGGCGCGCTGCCGCTGCCGCTGCTCTCTGAGATCGATGGAGCGGACGGCTCAGAGGGCTCAGAGGCGCCGCGCGCGGCCGGCCGGCCAGTCTCCTCGGGCGGTGACACTAATGTCTCTATCGGCCCCGACAGCGGCCATCGATCGGCTCAGTGGCTGCGCGATCAGCGAGCTCCCTCGGCGTGAATGATGCCAGCGTGCGCGCTTAATTACTCTCTGGATGTCATCGGCCGCGACTCGTGCCAGTCAGCCCGCCTGCCATGGCTGGCGCTCCGTCGGTCATGGGTCGGTCTGGAGACGGAGAGGGGTCGCCTATCATCCGCTGCAGCCACAAATGGTGCAGCGACACGAACTCTCGAGTCGTAAACTGAGGTTATATACGTCCCGTCGCTTATCGTTGATGACAACTGCAGACGGCACAGCTAGCATCTGCACGCATGGTCAGTCACAATAAAGATGTTTTCGTCAGTTATTTCCGATGTCGTCGGCTGCTGGCCGATGACTCTGTCCCGGGGTCTCGACGCGCCCCAGTCCGCCTCTCTGAAGCACCCATCGGAGTAATATGTTGAGCGGAGTGACGGCAGCCGGACCCAGTATTCTGTTCGGGGCGTGTCACTCGAGTGGGGGTCGGTGTACGGCGTCGGAGACATACCTCCGCCTCGACCAATCGCATTTGTTGCCGTGTTCGGTGGGCGGAGCTACAGGGGCTAACTCCGGGGCAATGTGATGTGACGTTGTTGCTCGAGCAGCGCGTATAAAGTGTTCGGGCGTACGTAGTGACATGCCAGGCGGCCAGTAATAGGAGACATATGTGTAGGAGGAGCGCGACGCCACTAATAAAGGTTTATTGCAGCACGTTCTCATTCGGAAACTGTTCTTTATTTAATTCTTCTGACTTACTGTGATCAGCAGGCTGAAGCTTGTTTGATTAATTTTGCTGATTGCTGGTTGAATACATTTGTTTATTGTGAGATGAATTTTATGTTATGCAGCATTTTGCTAGCACCAACCACAAATGTAGACACTGGTCCTTCATCACCTACCGTCTATGATTTCTCACAACCCCATTGACCTCTGGCCGTCTCGTGTCCTCAGGCGCTGCACTTTTTCTACGCGCTGGGGGCGTTCGCGTCTCCGATGATTAACGAGCCGTTCTTGCTGAAGAACCCGCACCACTGCTTCGCGCTCATCGACGACATTCTGCAGGCGCGCGGCAACTCAACCGAAAACGAGGCAGCCCTGCTCGAAATTCTGCAGCACTCCAAGATCCAGTACGGCTTCGAGATCATGGCGCTGCTCCAGGTAAATGCGACCGATGAACGCGAAATGGCATTCGACAAACTCGATTGCTTTTAACCTGATGTAGCTGTTTAGCGCGTGGTGCTATTTTTATGCTTGAATTGGTCATAATCAGTACGGTTGCGGATGACCTATCATCTAGGTAACCTGGCAAAGCTCTGACCTGACCTGATCTGATCTGACCTGACCTGACCTAACCCGCCCCCCCCCCCGCCGCAGATCCCTGTGGCGATCCTGGTCATCACCGTGCTACTGCGGAAGCGCAAGGGCTCCAGCTCGGAGACGTACGAGATTGATGAGAGCGGCGGCCTGACGGTCCACCACGTGCCGTCTGAGGGCGTCATCGACGACCACAACGCGGCCTCAACGCGCCAGGTGGCGCTGGTCACCATCTGCGCCATCGTGCTCTGCTTCATGTACGACGGACTGCAGGTGCGTGGAACAATAACGCAGTGTGGTTTTTTATATAATTCAACATAGTCAAGGCATTTATTAGTCACGAATGTGCTCTCTTATTCCTTCAACACTTCAGCATTTTGGGCTGGTCGCGTACGCTCTCGCCCAACTAACCCCGCCGCCGCCCTCGGCTGCCAGGGTGCCTACGGCGGCTACATCTACAGCTACGCCCGGAAGATGGTGTCGGATCTGACGGCCACCGAGGGCGCCTACCTGACCTCCTGCTTCTGGGGCACATTCGCCGTCGGCCGGCTGGTGTCCATTGGCGTGGCCACCAAACTCTCACCGGCCTTCATGATCATGTTCAACATCGTGAGTGCAATGGTGGGCTGATAGGCAAATTAGCATCATCCTTACATTTTTACGAATAAAAAACACAGGCACTGTATCTTATGACTGGTTACGTGACAACCAGTGCCTATCTACCAGTATAGCGCCTTTAGGGGCGACTAACGGAGCGAGCGAGGGGGTGAGTCTTGCACGTGCGAAATTTCGAGGGGTACCTCCAACTGACTTGTGCACGGCACCCTACTGACCGGTTTCTAGCGATGTGCCAAATTTGAGCACAATCGGCCCAGCCGTTCTCGAGATCTGGGAGCGGCACCCTGCACGTGCGCACGTGCAAAATGGGTCCCAACTGACTTGTGCACGGCACCCTACTAACTGGTCCCTAACCGTGTACCAAATCTGAGCGCCATCGGTCCAGCCGTTCTCGAGATCTGGAAACGACCCCTGCACGTGCGCACGTGCAGCAGCACCCCAAGTCTGGCACATGGATATGCAGTGCCTAGTGGGTGCCTACCTACATGCCAACTTTCAGCGCAATCGGCCAAGTAGTTACCGTAAACCAGAGCAACTTTGGTCCATCGGTGCAACTTTGGTCCACCATGGAAAAGATACTTTGCTGATTTTTTAAAAAATCCATCGTAATATTTGGGACATTTTTTCATGCAGGCAATATAGCCCAATATGCGCCCTAACTATGTGTGAACAGACCTGCTTTTGTTATGTGACCTTGACAGCAGCAGAATTTTTATAATAAAAGCCTTGATTTTGGCGCAAAAAACAGAAGTTGCTAGGATGATGTAAGGAGCGGAACTGGTAAGAACTGGAGCGACACTGGCTATCTAGACAGTAAGTACATGAGTTCTCCAAAGGCTTAGAGGAAGAAAACCCCCATTTTCTTTTTATGGTCATTTTTTAGGGGTGGTGGTCAAAGTTGCAAGCACTTTTTCCGTCAAAATGCTACAACTTTGGTCCACCAGGAAATCATTCTTAGGAAGCTTCTGATCACTATAGCATACCTTTTTCGTCATTTATGACAGTCAATGCTGGAAGTTATTGATGTTGATAGTCGATTGGTTATGCTGCTGCGTCTATATTTCATTTTTAGCCCTCCAAATCCAGATTATTTCCCCGCCTGTTGTATTCCATACCTATCCAATATGATTTTTCCTGTTTCAGGTCCGAGTTGTGCCATACGATCCTTTGATCCTGCTTCACTGTTAATGCTATGGGAGGAGAAAGTGCAGGAAAGTCTAGAAAAAAAAAGTGGGAGGTCGCACCTATCAGAGGTACTCCCAAGAGACACCAGCCTCCCATCCCGGTTGGCACCCGTGGACAATTCACCTTCATTTGTTAGAGAACTGTCAAGTGACTTCTGAAGGTGCTGAGTTTTGTGGTTCTTACTCAGCCGCTCATTTAAAAGCCAGAGTGCTCATGTGATTTTACTCCATCCAAAGCCCGGAACAGCCGTTCACTGTGAATCTGTTGCCCCATTGTAAACCAGTGTTTCTGTGATTGTTTTCAGCCAGTTGAAGTCCTGGTGTGTCAGGATATTTTTTAAAAGAACTTATGTGGACCAAAGATGCTCTGTAAAATACCATTTTATTCGTTAGCATTGAATAAAATAGGATTATAATCAGTGGTACAAAGTTGTAAAACCCCTCTACAACTTTGACCACTTGTTCAATAAAAAAATAAAATAACTCAAGATGCTAGGATTCTTTTACTCTAGAGCAAACTGTTGACAAAGGTTGTAGCTTCCACCTTGCAAAAAAACTAGCCAGATTGGACAACAGTTAAAAAAGATATTCAACAAAAACCTAAAAAGTGGTACAAAGTTGCTCTGGTTTACGGTACCGAGATATTGCAACAATTACAAAACTGACACCTCTTCGTTTTGCACGTGGCACGTGCATAAGGGGTCACCCACATGCATCGGGAATAGCCCAATACTTGGTAGAAGGAATGAAGCTACCCTACAAAAATTACCGCATGTAAATCGGTCAAGTGGTTGCTGAGATATAAGCCTCGCAAAAGCGTCCGCACGGCCGGCCGGCCGGCCGGCCGGCCGGCCGGCCGCTCATACTCAGAAATTTCCGTTATTCTACGTAAGACTCCGCTCGCTTCGCTCGCTCCGTAACAACAATTTTGGGTATTTCTTGCATTTTTATTGGCAGAGTTGCTCATATTTAGATTGCATGAATTCTTATCATCTAAATGCGTAGTTGCACAGTTATGCAAAGCTGCAACTAAGTTACATTGAATCTAGATTTCAACCTTACCGCCTGGATTTTTGGGGATAATGAGCTCATCTCACCGTAATCCATCTGTTTTGGGCCAACATTATTCGCATCAGCTCTAACGGTTTGCGGATTAAACGTAAGCTGAATCTGCAAAAGAAACGAAAGTTTAGACAGTTTGCTTGCGAAACACAAGATTTATTACAGACATCAGCTGCCTGGTTGAAAGAGATAAACGTTACGAGCATACCTCAACAAACTCTTTGTTGATGCATCAGCTGAAATAACTTCAAAACCATTTATAACAAATTGCAGTGACCGTCTATCTTCGTGTTTTCCGGCAAAAGTCTTCTCCAGCTTATCAGGATATCCTTTGGGTGAACGCGAGTTCTTCCACGGCCGCCTCAGACGGGCAACACGATGCTCCTTTAGATATCCATCAGCCGAGCTGCCCAAAAGCCTTAGTGGCTGGCTGGGCGCGGCAGTCTGCCCCGCCGTCGGCGCCTCTCCCTCCTGGCCGCTGCCCGCTGCCCGCTGACTGCCCTCCGACCGCTGACCCCGGGCTGACCTCTAAGAAGCGGGTTTTGCCGCGGGCAGTTCGGTCAGCGGAGTTCAGTCGTTTGGCGACCGGAGCGCTCTGTTAGCGCGGATCGATGACCCGTTCGCCGGGGCGGTGGATAGGGACGGCCGCCGCCCGGTTACTGGAGCCGGGCGGGCCTGGTCACCGTGTCCGTCCTTATGACTGTGCCGATCGTCTGGGGTAGAGAGGCGTCCGGGTAGAGCGGGGGAGAGTAACGAGTTGTTGACGGCAGTCGGAAACGGGCTGCTGATCCCGGAACGTCTCATTAGTTCAGCTGAGAGGTCTCCCCTAACATGTAGTGGTAAGGCGACCTGAGCTGTTTTTACCGACCTACAGACACTGACTCGTCTCTAGTTGACCTCACCTAACCCGACTCGCATTGATTGGACCGGTTCTGACCTGACCTGACCCGACACGCGCTGACCTGGCCCGCCCTGGCCGGCAGGTGGGCTGCGGTATGGCAGCACTGCTGATGCTCATCTGGCAGCACAGCCGCCTGGTGGTGTACGCCGGCACCTGTCTGTTCGGCCTCTCTCTGAGCAGTATCTACCCCACCACCATCTCGCTGGCTGAGACATACATCGACGTTAGCTGTACGTGACAACAGATGGCGCGCAACGCGGCCACTTTCTAGAGCTGCAGGACGCTGAATGTTTTGTGTAACATTTTGCACAGCACGTCGTGTTTTTAGATGGCGTTTTTAGATCACAGTTGATTAGAAACATGCCAGGAGCATGCGTATAGCTTTCCGTTAGCAATAACCGTCTAATTTTTGGTCGATCGGACCGAATGTTCGGTATCATTTCCACCTACCAGTTTATGAATTGTAAACGGCAAATGGCACTTATTTTGTTCACTCTCCAGCATGCAGTTATTCTGTCAGCGACTGGGCTGGTGACGATACACCCTCTGTTACAGCGGTGATCACCAGTCTGATTGTGGTCGGGGCAGCCGCCGGGGAGATGGTCCAGCCCGTCGTGGTCGGACACGTAAGTCAATCTTCTTTTACCCTACTTCATCTAGACTTTGATTCGAAACGGCTGACTGCGCTCTGCTTTACAGTCCACCAGTATGCGTGGTATACTGCTTGTGCGGAAGCTTATCCCCCGCCCATAGATGGCAGCAGGGTAGACGCCTGAAGTTATGCTGTGCCGCATGACACAAGAGTTTAGACGGGCGGGCCTAGCCGTTTTTCTCAGTCGCTATTTGACGGATGGGAATGTTTGGGATATCGTATTGGTGGGAGCCGTTAATTGTCGATGACTCCGATAATTGGAATTGTGTCAGTGCGCTACACTGGCAAAATGGGGGCGTTTACCTTTAAGCTTTGTCATATAAAACTGTGCAACTGAAACTCTTGACTGGAACTGTACCTATGCTGAATGCTGATTATGGAAGTGGTTTAGTTAAACTCCTGTGATTGGTGACAAGTGTGACATATTTTGTGCCTTTTCTGCAGGAGTTCGAGTCGGTGGGTCCAGTCATGTTCCAGATCAACGTGATTCTGGTGGTCCTCATCTCGATCATCGTCGTATTTGTCCTGTTCGTCGTGGGTGCTTCGATAAAGAACCAGGCTGGTAAGTGAATACAGATGGCCCCTCTGTTAGAATAAATGGGTGAAAGACGTCTACCGTACAAATGATAATGATTTTTTTTTCTCATTCGATGACACCAGTAGCGTATATCACCTAAGATAAGATGCTACTGCTTGTACTACACATTATACACCACGATGAAGAAATCTCATTACCCGTTGACCGACTCTCTCCGTCAAAGCACCAGGCATCCTCTGACGGATCTCCGCCCCCCCCCCCCCGCAGGTCTATTCCGTCTGTTCCGCTGCTGTATGGGATCCGGCAGTGACCCCGGCGAGGACACCGGTCTGATGAGTCAACACGTCACCTACTACTCACGCATGCCACATGAGGTCAGCTCCAGTGAGCTGCACTTCAACCCCAACGGCAAGGGCAGCTAGGTCGGCCTCCCGGTCAGCTAGATCGGCCACCAGGTCAGCTAGGGCGGCCTCTGGGTCAGCGGGGTCAGCCTCCGGTCAGCGGAGTTGGTCCGTCTTGCTGCTGTGGGGCATCTGGGTGTGTGCCGCTCCAGAAAGATGATTTGGTGAGGTCGTGAGGCGCAGACCGGTTATATGAAGGTGGAGGTATACCAGGACGGTCCGGCCGAGGTGTTAAGTGGAAGTGTGAAGCGATGTCTTGCGGAAGTTACGAGTCTGTCGACCGATAGGTGGCACTGGATGATTGGTTGTCAGCATCGGGCATTAGAGGAAGATGAGAACGCGCTGAGAGAGCGACTAGAAAGCTCGAGGACTTATTGCTGTTATTTGTCGAACGCTGTGCGTCAAGTGTTTGTGTAAGAGACAGTGGAAAACCGAAGAGAGGACGTTAAGTTATGATGGAGGGCGGAGCACAAGCGCTGATGTCGATGGACTGCTGGTGATTTCTCGGCGAGCCAGGGGCGTCCGTGGATACTATGTCGTGTGTGTAGGAGAGACAGATGCGGCGAACACTACGGAGAGAGTGTGATGTGTGAAACGAACTCTGGCGAATGCAAGTGTCGAGTATGATAGAGGGCGTGTGTGGAGCTGAATGAGCCGGCCGTAAGAGGCCCCGAGGTCCGTGTGGTCACCCTTTTGGGACACGACCGAGTGCACGACAGTACGCCATTCATTTACGGGAGGCTGTTGAAATGTTACAGGACGGATGTTGTTGTTCGGATGTTTATTATCATTTATCGGGAAAGGGCTGTTCGTACACGTAGCTGCTGGGGTATATAGCCATGAAAACTGTCTACGGAATGGAAGCGTTACGACTGATGGGGCTCCAGCAATAGTTACGTTTTGTTATATATTTCCTCCCACACTGGAAGCATGCGCATCATCGCATGAAATGGTAAATTGGAGAACCCTAGGGACTTTGTTTTCGATCGCAGCCCCTTACGCGCTCAGATGTGGACAGTGGATGAGTCATTTGGTTTGGTCAAGACAATTCGGTTTTGTTTTTGTCCACAGGTTATTGGAGCTGTGAGTGTATTTATGTGCCATGACAGATGTGGCATACGATTCAAATGTTCGCTAGCGTAGAATGGGTGTTCTCGTGTATGTCTATCTCTTGAATTCTCCGACCTTTCCTCTCCAGTCCATGTGCGTGAGTTTTTTTTTTTTTTAACACATTTGGTAATTATTTTGAAATTTAGAATCATAACTTTATTTCAATGAATCTTAAAGCAATTTATACTTGTTCCACCAGTGCTTCCTAAAGAATAGAGCCCTTTTCTCGCACGTACCGAACCAAAATTGAGGCATATCATTTTATTCTAAAACGGCACGCGTTCGCTTTTCCCGACTACTCGAAGTTCGTAGCTGGTCCGGGCGCTGCGCCTTGGCACTTGGCGTGTACGATTCCAGTGGGCTGCCATGGTGTCTGGGTAGCGGTGCCGTGTTCAGCTGTCGAGTGTCTGCCCTTCCACGATTCCCTGATCCGTCGGTTTCCTGTGGCGGTAATGAGATATGCCTCCCGAGCCGCTAATCGCTCTCTGAACCGCGGGGGCACGGTCTCCGAGTCTTTAGCCGCGGGGCGTACGGTCCGGCTCCAGCCGCGTGGCTCGCCGTCCGGCCTCGGCCGATCGGCTCTCGATGGTCGGTCACCGTCTCACTACCGGCTACTGTTCTCCGTAAGACGTGTTGTCAGCTCGCTGTGACTGTGAATGTCTCGTCGATTTCAACATTCTCGTCGATATCTATGCCTCTGGCCACGTTTTGCGGTCGAGTTTCTCAGTCTTTATCTAGAGCTGAATTCTCCGTCTCTCGGCTGACTGCCGCCGTTCGAGCTTAGGAATAGGGATAGATTTAGGAAAGGAGCGACTAGTTCGAATTGTTCGATGTGCTTTCAGGAACAACTAGACAGAACTGCACTCTTTAGGCTTCGGTCCGGTTTTGCCAACACTGCGCACAGTGTTTTTGCTACTCCAAAAACAACATGTACCTATTATCAATCTCACGGTTTTGACTTCTATTCATCTGTCGAACGGTTGTACTATATTTGTGTGTTCGTACTGTCCTTATGGTGTTTGTATGCATGGATGTTGTTTGAGTGCAGACTGCAGAGGCTGCAGATATTTATTTAATGGAAAATGCTAGCAGAGACGTTGTTTGCTTCGGGTGAACGAATATGTAGTTGAACAATGCTATGTTTCGATGTAGGCATATGTTATCTGCGATTGAATGTGTTATTTGTCGTTTCTTGCTCCTTTCTTTTGTGCAATCATCTGTTACCTAATTTATTGTCCGAACTCTCGTCTTTTTCTGACTGTTTTCTGTGTGTTGGGGAGTGACTGCTGTTTAAATATAGGAATCATACATACAAGCGCATAATTATGTCATGTGATATAGGCTTAACTCTAATGGTAGCGCCCTTGTATATGTTATAATAGATGTGCTCAAATGATACTACTGTTTCTTTTTTATCGGTGAAGTGAAGACCGAAGAGAGTCATGTTCTGTAGGTATTCACGGGCCAAGGGACAAGAATATTACACTATAGTATTCGGACCTCGGGCAGTGCATAAGAACACCCAGCGGTCCTCGTTTTGTCACAAACTTTTTTGTCTTGGCACTTACCGGAATACTGACATTCGTCCACGCACACTTAACAGGAAAAGAGCGATAAAAATGTAATGAGGCCGAAGAAGTCCGCATTAAAATTACAGGCAATATACAAAAAGTCAATAATGGTAATGAATTAAAAAATGAATATATTAATGAAAGAAATCTGAAAACGAATGGATAAAATGATATCCAAACGACTGATCAGTATAATGACATACAAAGTGGTGATTACACTTGGCATGCGCTTATGTAGCCTGTCGAGGGCTCAGGTTCTCGATGTTTTCGTACGGCGATAGATAGGCGATTCAAACGGACTTCCACTTTCTCTGAGTGTCTTTCAGAAAACATTTTAAGGCCCGCGCCACCGTAAAAACGTATGGTTAACGAGGGACCGACGATGTGTGCTCCACTCGAAACGAACTTCGTCAAAAATGTTGCATAGCTTGCTTCACGACAGTAAGGTAGTTTGGTGGGCCTTGGTTTGGTGTAAATGAGCTTCAGACCAGTTGTCCAGTTGTAGGTAAAGTAATTTTCAAGTCTTTACTCGAGCTTTGAGGGAGGCCGTGCCTCCAACTGAGTTTTAAAATGTTTGATTAAATGTGAAGGGATCTGTTGACCAGCTACGTGCGCTTTTTTGTTTTTACTTATTGCAATTTGCACTTGTGCTAATTAAAGAACATTTTCAGTGAGTAATTAGGCCATTTATGTAACGCATCACCCAATGCATTCTTACTATAAGGTAATAAGGAAAAACTGAAATTATAGCAGTTTCTAAGGTGCAGATAAACGTATCAAAATGACATTATGTTCAAATATTTGTGTAGTTAGCGGAACATTGTTGTAAACGAATGCACGCGATTATTTGGTATTTGAAAAGTTTAATCAATAAATATGCAACGACAGGACAATTCAATCGACTCTCGCACAAGGCCATAAGCAATGACAGCGATGTTGAATATTGCTTCCAATGTATATATTGAGACGGGTTACACAGCACATTCGGGTGGACGCGTTTCGTCTAAATGACTTTATCGACACCCTCTCGGAAATTAAAACAATACAAACAGTGTTTGTATTGTTTTAATTTCCGAGAGGGTGTCGATAAAGTCATTTAGACGAAACGCGTCCACCCGAATGTGCTGTGTAACCCGTCTCAATATACACATTTGTCTATCGCTACTCAACATTGCTTCCAATGTGTCTGATATTGTATTTAACCGAATTACCTAAATACCTAGCTAGACTCGCCGTTCATCACATAACGTTTAGGTTTGCTGGATAACATCTCGACATGTTCGGTGTTAAGCGGATCTCCTGTACACCTAAAACATATTTCTACTGTAACACCTTGTCCTATCCATAAAAAGCTAACAGCGAAGGAACGCATCCGCGTGCAGCTTCAAGCCTGACAGACCATTGTGAGATTCGGTGAGTAATGATACGACTCAGATAAGACTGATTGGAAAGTCGTTTTTTTTCTAAGTTTGCAAGGGCACGCGCAATGCCAGGCTGGTGGGCTCTTATTTTTTTTCAGTTATTCTGCCCTTGGGTAAAGTAACGTATACCAAATGGGTGGCGTGGGTAGGGGCTTTACTACATCAAACACCACAGTTTGTCGGTTAGAATTGAAATGAGGGCCATTCGTTGATTGTTCTTTCCATGCAACTTCCTAGTGTTTTTAATGGTACCTACCTATTATTTGGAGGAGTGCCTTGAAGGAGTGACGTCGCTTTATGGATACGGCCTGTCCACGATAAAATAGCTGCTTGTACTTTATTTGAATAAAAAAGTTAAAAGGGCTTCAGTGTCTCTAGTCAATTTGAAAGAAAAAGCGATACGTGGCATGTGCGGATATCAAATTATTTACGCATGGTTCCAACGGAATTGATTAGGTAGGTACTAGGTATTTATGAACTCTGGCTGTTCGTCGGCAGCAGGGCCGACGGAGAAGCCCTGGTGACGTCACCTGCCCGCTGTGACGTCATCAGTCGGCTGCTGACGTCACACAGAGCCGGTCTATATTAGCGCGGCCTGCCGCCGGCGGCGTCAGATCGTTCTGCGCCGTCAGAGTACGGACGAACGGTGGACGGACCTGCCGGTGACCGGTGACCTGACCCGCCCGCAGCGTGACCTGTGACCTCTGAGACACACACTGACCTGGAGACACGATGGCGAGCCAGTGCCGCCAAAACTACCACGAGGACTCCGAGGCCGGGGTCAACAAACAGATCAACATGGAGCTGTTCGCCAGCTACACCTACCTATCCATGGTGAGCAGAACGCAATCGCAGATAACCAGTGGCACACTGCTTATGCATGTGATTACGTGCTTACGTTACTTACGTACTTACGTAGCTTCGTAGTTCATCGTTCAGAAGCAATTGCATTGCACTATTGCACGGCTTGCATAAGCCTATGCTCTTACTTAAAAGAGTGCGAAAGTGCGAGTTACTGCGAGTTCCGGCTCTTTTCATAGGGTTTATCTTTTCATTCGGCTTATCTACCGGCTTAATTGTATCTCGCGTCACATATCCCTGTATTTACCAGTAGAATCAGTTGCATAATGCATAAGTACGGTGGCCGACCCGTCGACCCGCGGTAGGTCTCCCCTCTGTGGATCGCATTTGGCTCCCGTCGCTGGCAGCTGTGCGCGCCGAGCGGCACTGCGCAGCGCCCTCCCCCCTCGCCCCCTCCCCCCGCCCTGACCGGAGCTCGGTCATTCAGCGTTGGGGGAGTACGCAACTACGCAACGGGGCCGGACGTGCACTGCCTGAATCGGCGGCGGACTCTAAAGAAATGACGCTAGTGCTTCACACGATTCTCACTTCCCTTGGAACCCACTGTATAGGTATCTAAAAATTCGAAAATATAATTTATAGTGTCTACCTTTTGAAGCATGTTTTAAATAGAGACGGTACAGGGTGTCCCGAAAGTTTTGCAACATCCCTAACGTTGTAAATTAAACACTTCAGAGTTGTCGTTTCCGCTTTATTTAACAACCAACATAGTCACCGCGAAGCCGGGCACACTTCTGGACACGTGATGGCATGCTGGCCACCAGGCGGCGCAGTGTGTCCGCGGAGATGTCTCTCCAGGCCTTCTTCAGCCGGCGCTCGAGCTGACCCAGGTTGGTGGCGGGCTCCTGCTGGTCGAGGCTCTCCTTCATGATTGCCCACACATTCTCTATCGGGTTTAGGTCGGGGGAGTTGCCAGGCCACTCCCCTTTACCCCAAAACCCTGGGAGGTGTTCCGCACACCATTCTTGTGTCCGCTTTGCGGTGTGTGCTGGTGCGCCATCTTGCATAAAAATTCCTTCTGACCTCCGGTCGACGATTTTCTTCTCCGTGACACCGCCATTGCTGCTCTTACGGTTGAACGCCGGCAGAAGTGAGCCCTCCAGAATCTCGGACACGTAGTATGCGGTGTTGACAGTCTGGTTTTTTGGCACCACGTGAAGTTCAGTCAGGCCCTGTGCGGTCATTCCGCCCCACACCATGAGTTTCGCGGGGTGCTTGATGATTTCAACCGGGGGCACTTCGTCGCGAGATTTCGCCCAGACTCGATCGTTTTGCCGATTTGGCGTGTGCTGGATTTCGAAGATGGACTCGTCGGACCAGATGACGTTCTTGAACTCATCGAAGCCCCAATTTTTCCCCTCTTGCAAAATTCCAATCTTGCAAGCTTCTGTTCTCTTGTCATTTTCGGCTGTTTTGATCTTTTGTACGACCGGAAATGCTTCGACTGGGTCATGAACCGATGGACACCCGACTTTGACACCGGGTAACCCTTTCGCGTCAGCCGCGTGGCCAATTTCCTGACGCTTTAGCCACGCTTGCCAGCAGCTTTGGCACAGACGATTCTGGCGACGTTGGACACGGCACGCGGCCGGCCTGAACGTTTCTTGTCGGCTAACGGTTTGCCGTCGCGAAAACGTTTCCACCACCGGTAGCCAGTGGTCCGATCGACGCCCAGCTTCTCTGCGACAACCCCCTGCGCCACGCCACCTTCCAGCAACCCGATCGCGCGGGAGCGCACCGCCTCTCTGCGCGTTACCCGTCCGGCCACCTTCATGTCTGCGACTGACCTAAGGTCAGACGGCGGCCGCCCCAGACGGGTCAGCCGTGCCCCGCGGCAATAACCGCCGCTGGGTCGGGTGGGCAGTCGCGCCGTCTACCCGGGACAAGCGGAAGGTTGCCAGTGGAACGTTGATTATAGCGGTAGAGACAAAACATATGGGAAAACGGATGTTGCAAAACTTTCGGGACACCCTGTAGACGGCCATTCAAAGGAAACAAATTGTCACTTAAGGACAAGGTAAGGTCAAAGGTAAGGTAACAGAGGTTATTTTGGGTCAAATGTTTTATGTTGCCGATTTCGACTTTCTTGGCCTCATAACTCGAGGTTGCAATAGGTACCATGGGAAAGCGTTCGATTCGACAGCTTATTATTAAAAGCTCCTTACATTTACAGTTGACCACGGTTTGTTAATTGTTTTAAAGTTCAACGGTTCGGTTTACAACGGGCAGGAATCGTTTGCACTGACTTAATCGATACCTACTTATACTTTTTGCTTAGGTGAAGTCAGCTCAAGGTGTTAACTTCAGGTCAAGGTCGGGTCACACCGTCTTAGGTCACGAAGCTGGTCGAAGGAGGTTATGACGCATATAATTCGATTCGGCAGGTCTTTTCGAGTCCATTGCGGCTTTCTCGAGTCCCTACTCCCCTGCTCAATTTGGTCTGTCATTATTGACGAAGTATTCTGATAGTGATGACCCTGGTGAGGTCACCCAGTCAACAGAACAATTAACAAAAGTGAAGCATCGGAACTCCCAAGGATGCCGTGAGCTTGAGGCAGTCATAGATAATTCCCGATGCCAGAATAAAAGCATCCATATATTCTCATTGACTTAAAATGATGAGGTCACGTGACCTCACCGACTTTACCTCGGGTGACTCTTGGGAAGGTTCTGAGATCGAAGCTTTGAGAGCTCGGGAGTTAACTAATTACTGTAACTTTCATTTCCCTGTGGAAAAAATATCCTGGCACTGAGCGCCTTGAGAATTTGCGACATTTTAGGACCGCCCGTAGATTCATTTATGACACCATGGATCACTCAGTGTGAGTGACCTGACCTAATCTGAAAATGCGATTGTGTAAAAAGATCCGTCTTGAACCAAAGGTCAGGTGCGCCAGCCTTCAGCGCTATGTGACCACTGCGCTCCGAGCAATTGCAAACGGGCGGCACCCTTTGACCGGGGAGAGCTAATCTACATTACCGTTACACCGTACATACATAACGGTACGGAGTCATCTCCCCTGCTCCGCATCCCCCCACAGGCCTACTTCTTCGACCGGGACGACGTCGCCTTCCCCGGCTTCTTCGACTACTTCAAGAAGGCTTCTGACGAGGAGCGCGAGCATGCGCAGAAGCTGATGAAGTTCCAGAACCAGCGCGGCGGCCGGGTGCTGCTGCAGCCCGTCATGAAGCCAGCTCAGGACCAGTGGGGCTCGCCGCTGGCGGCCGCACGCGCCGCCCTCGAGCTGGAGAAGTCGGTGAACCAGTCGCTCCTGGATCTACACACGGTGGCCGGCTCCCACGGCGACGCCCAGATGTGCGACTTCATCGAGAACGAGTTCCTCACCGAACAGGTAAAGACCAAGAGCTGAGGAGAGGGGAGTGGAGAAAAAGGAACTATTGGTGACCGCGGGTCACACAGCTGAGAATATGTAAATAGTAATTCGTTGGGGGTCATGCATAAATGGGTAGTGAATAATGAAGCTACAGCGATGGGATTAGTGCAGCTGTGGACAGTGCGGTAAGAAAGACCGACCATGATGACCCAACCATGCCGAGCCAGCCCGCTGACCAGCCGTCTGTTTCCAGGTGGAGGCGATCAAGGAGCTGGGTGACATGATCACAAGGATGGAGCGCTGCGGTCCGGGGCTGGGAGAGTACCTCTTCGACCGCGACCTCAAGAAGGAGTGAGCACCGCCACCCGGGGCTGGGAGAGTACCTTTTCGTCCGCGACCTCAAGAAGGAGTGAGCGCTAAGCACTCCATTTCTTTTGCCGGCGTCACCGATGTAGGTCGTCGTCAGCCAGTGGTCGTCATATCCGGACTCCGGAGTTCGACAATCGTGTACGCTTGTTTCAGTGGTGAAATGTTGCGTGCGTCATGTGCATCTAAAAATTGTGCGTTTAACGCCACAACCTTCGGAAGTCGCCGGCAGGCGGGTCTCGTTGATATTGTCAGTTAAAGTGAGTACAAATAGCAATAAATCCAGACCAACTAACGCACTCTTCTTGTAGTTGGACCATCCGCCACGCTTAGGAATATTTCGCTGAACTCAACAGGGCAGATGACCCCCCCCCCCTACACACGCAAACACGCACCCCTCTCCCCAACGAACACTCCCCAATGACCCTCCCCCCCACACACACACACTCCACCCCTCTCCAACGAACACAAACGTTTTCCACGACTCCAGCATTTATTAATCCACTTTAAAAGGCAGAACATTCGTACATCTATTCCGCATCTGATTACGGGGAGCGTCTCAAAGCAGCCGTTCAAACTTCAGAAGTCTGAGGCGGCCACTGAGAGTCGCTCCGGCCCATCCTGCCCAGTCATATATCGCAGTACTACACGAAACAATCCGGAGACAATCCTAGCGTTCACCCAGAACCACACTCACGTCAAAGACGGCTGTTAGTCAGTGCTTAAAGACTAACAGGATCAGAACGCCGGAGATTTTCGGCGGCCACTCGGTACAGGCGGAGCTGGCTCACCAGCCCCGACCACTGTGGTTATTTATCTATCGCGAGCAGTATATGTATCGTCACCAGTTTCTACAATATTGTCAGCATCACAGCGGGGTGTTGAACGGTGACGGCGGCGGCGTGGGGACCGGCGCACGCGCTTCTGTCATGGAGCGGACACTCGGAGACTCTGAACCACCCGAGTCTGGTGCACGGCGGCGATCGTCCGACCTGCACACCGTCACTGATATTCGTAATATGAGACCTACATTGACCGCCCCGCTCGGCAGGTTAGACACTGGGAGCCAGGAGAGGGTCAGAACAGCCCGACAACACCTCAGCGGGCAGCTGTATGCACCAGCGTGCCGCCGACTGTCGACCCCCTCACAGTCACCGACCTGCCACCGGCGGGCCCGGCACTCGGATATCCTCTGGCCGCCGTTCGACAGGCCGACTCGAGCTACCAGCGGCGCCAGTGCGGCTCGCACGACACGGGACGGAAGCACACCAACCTAGACCAGCCTTACGACAATTATAACTCCCAATACACCATCGCTCTGTCACTACTGTACGCATAAACATTCACAACTGTTCAGTCTGGGCTTAATCAATCATTCCATAAACATTTATCAATCCCCAACGGCAGCTGATATCTGTCTGCGACGTCTAATTCGGTCGCAGTTAGTGCATCATATCAATTGCACGATTGAATAAGCGGCGACTGAGTCGCCCTCCAATATCTACCCAGAACGCAAACCAATGAGAAATAGCTCTGTCTCCCCCCCCCCCTCCCTCGACACATACACCGGACCTCTCAGGCTGCTGCACTTCTCACATACGGCCAATCATATCCGCCCTAGGTTAGAGTTAGTACGCGAGAGGAACTACGTCGGGCGATACTCACGTCTCCCATACCAATGCGTCGGAACATTCACGTCCGCGTCCGCCTACATTATCGGTCAGTCACGTCTCCCATCCGCCTGCGGCGGCGACATTCACGTCTCCGTCCGCCTGCATCAAAAGCCGAGAGCTTCTTCTACCCAGCGCGACCGTACACAGCGCGGAGCTCAGCATCTTCTGACACAGAACACATCGTGCCGACGGCCGTCCGAGGGAGCGAGGGCCCACTGTCCTCTCCCTCTCCACACTTACAGCTCAGTCCACGGCGTTCTTAAGCCGCGCACGGCAGGCGCCGCCAGGAGGAGCTCCAGTCCAGTCAGTCAGACAGGCCAGTCTCCGAGAGTCTGTCGGACTGCCAGTCACAGACCAGTGACCAGACCAGTGACCAGACCAGACCAGTCAGTCAGACAGGCCAGTCTCCGAGAGTCTGTCGGACTGCCGGCCACAGACCAGTGGCCAGACCAGACCAGTCAGTCTCCGAGTCTGAGGGACAGCTGGCCAAAGACCAGTCCAGCCAGTCTCCGGGATCTATCCGACTGCCGGTCACAGACTCTGCCAGCCGTCCGGCAGCGCTCAGAGTCTGTCGGACCACCGGTCACAGACCAGTCCAGCCAGTCTCTGAGAGTCTGCCCGACTGCCGGTCACAGGCTCTGCCAGCCGTCCGGCAGCGCTCAGAGATTCTGCCAGTCTGTCTGACTGAACGAGTCCTCCATGAGGCGGGTCACCTCCTCGGGGATGCCGTGCGCGATCCACAGCCGGTTCAGCTTGTCGTACTGCTCACGCCACAGCGTCAGAGGGTTGCCTCGGTTCAGGCCCTGGTCCATCTCGCCGAACTTGTCCACGTACGGCGGGGGGACGCTGGCACCTGGAGGGGACACCACCGAAAGATGGAAAGTGTTAGAGATGCCTGGGTTGGAGCCGACGACAGACGCTGATATTCGAATGGTGGTGCAAGGATGTTTTCAAGCAATTAACTATGCTCAAATGGTCTTGGTATTTTGACCCCGAAACCCCCTTGTAACCCTCCCCCATTGTACAGTTTCCTCTGTTCCATCCTCAGAGTATGCAACCTCCTCCATCCTTCATTCGCCATACCTCTAACCCCTTTAATCCGGGGCGGAAAGTCACCTTCATCCTCCTCAGGAGCAGTTTTACGTGCGGTGGGGTAACCGTTAGAGGGCTGGGTGGCCTGTCCATCGTCACGGGCCGCCCAGACCAATGCCTCCCCCTAATTCCTGCAATCCTCCCGGCTGGTCTGAAAAGGCCTCATTAGACCGAAAGGTCTAGCCTTACAAAACAAAACAAACAAACCCCACCGTGATCCGCTCGCTGTCCTCTGCTCTAACCTGTGCCCTGAGCTGCTCACTGGCATGTGCTCTTTGGTGCCCACCGCTCATTGACCTGCGCCCTCTCCACTGCCCTGCTCTAATCTTGACTCGTGTCCTGCCGCGCCCTCTGACTTGTGCTATGAGCTATGACCTCTGTAGACTGAACCCTGTGCCATGCCCTATTATTTGAACTATGCCCCGACCTCTGCCCCCGATCACTGACCCGGTACCCCTGTAGTGACCCCCGTTGACTGACCTCGGACTTTGTTGACCAGCAGGTGGACGCGACACTCGCGGATGCGCAGCATGACGCCGGAGCCGGCGCCGCAGCGCATCAGGTGCGCGTTGCAGGCGCCGATCTGTCCGATGTGCTCCACCTGCACCTGGCAGCAGTACGACTGGGAGCACAGCAGCTCGCCGCACGCCAGACACATGGCCGGCACGCGCGACTCGCCGTCGCTGCTCGGACACGTGAAGTCAGATACCTGGTGGAAATAGGGGGAGGGTCAGTTGGGACGGTACAGTTCGGTGAGCCAGGAATGGTGGCGTGCCGCGTCGAGCAGCGGATCAGCTTGGAATTGAGTTGAGTCGTGACAGATACACGTCCTAGGGTTGATAGATGAACCGGACAGACCCATCGCTACACACTTGGCGACGAGTCTGGCCAGTCCATCTCTCAATTCATAATTCATCTTGGTGATAAGGTTGAGTGCCAGTGAGCTTATCATGCAGTATGCTCTGTCAGTTGGATATGAACGGCTGTGAAGTAATTCTTCAAACTGCATAATCTTTTCGATTTAAAGCCCTCAAAAACTGCTCCGAACACCACCACAAACTCTGAGCACAGGTCGCTAAGGGCGATCTTCCGCCGCGTCCTGTGGTCACCACCGACCTTGTTGATAAGCTCGGAGAAGTCGACGGGCAGCGGGATGAGTGTGTTGACTGACAGCGGGTAGCGAACGATGGGTCCGCGGCTGCCGGCCAGGTACGGCCCGATGTCCGGGTGGCGGCACCACCTGAGGGACAGACGGTACAGGTCAGAGGTCAGAGGGTACACAGGGGAGGGTCACAGACTGCCGGCCAGGTACGGCCCGATGTCCGGGTGGCGGCACCACCTGAGGGAGGACAGCAGACGTCAGAGGGCTCGGGTCGGGTCAGAGCTCAGCTATCAGCCGTCAGAGGTCACCGTAAGAGTCGGATATCAGCTGTCAATCCGTAGGGTGCAATAAGGGAGTCCCGATGGTCTACATGGGACCGGAAGGGTTACTCGTCAGAATTCACACGTCAGGGAGGCCAACAGTCGCGACAGCCGGGCCCAAGGCCTACGTGATAAAACTACTCGCCAGAATTCACACGTCAGGGAGGCCAACAGTCGCGACAGCCGGGCCCAAGGCCTACGTGATAAAACTAAAAAGAACAAGAACCACCGATAAACATTAAAGCGCTGCAGTAGCAAATCCGAAAAACCTACCCACAGCCCGCGTCCTCCCCGGCGGCGGCCACTCACTTGGCGATGAGATCTTGCAGCACGCTCTGGCAGTCAGTGGCCTGGGGCACGCAGAGCGAGTCCAATCCCAGGTAGCGCAGCAGGTGCGGGTACTGGGCCGCCAGCGGCAGCGGCTGCAGCAGCTCGTCGGGCGCGCGCACCCCTGTCAGGAAGTGAAAGTAGAGCGCGCAGCAGCGCAGGAACGGCGTCACCGCGCCGGCCACGTACTGGCGCAGCAGCGGCGGGCTTACATCGGCCACCTCGACACCGGCGGCGGAGCGGACCAGCGTGTAGAGCTCAGCCAGCCACTGCTGCTCGTCCTGGTCACCGGCGGCCGGCTCGTCGTCCGTCTCCATCGGCTGCTGGCGCGTCAGCTCGGCCACGTCCAGCGTCAGCAGGATCTGCACCAGGTGCAGCAGCAGCGACAGACGAACACACTGTAGGTCCTGGGGACGGGAGACGAGACCACAGCGTCAGCAGGATCTGCACCAGGTGCAGCAGCAGCGACAGACGAACACACTGCAGGTCCTGGGGACGGGAGACGAGACCACAGCGTCAGCAGGATCTGCACCAGGTGCAGCAGCAGCGACAGACGAACACACTGCAGGTCCTGCGGAGGGGAGGGACAGCACAGCGTCAGCAGGATCTGCACCAAGTGCAGCAGCAGCGACAGACGAACACACTGCAGGTCCTGGGGACGGGAGGGAGACCACATCGTCAGCAGGATCTGCACCAGGTGCAGCAGCAGCGACAGACGAACACACTGCAGGTCCTGGGGACGGGAGACGAGACCACAGCGTCAGCAGGATCTGCACC